AGCGCCTTGTAAAATCTCAATAAATCTTATGATACACTAATTCTCCTTTTTTTTTTTTTTTTTTTCTTTTTTTTGAGACAGGGTCTCCCTAATGACCCAGCTGGCCTGGAACTCGCTATGTAGACCAGGCTGGCCTCTGAACTCAGAGATCCGCCTGCCTCTGCCTCCCAAGTGCTGGGATTAAAGGGATGTACCACCACACCTGACTCAAGATAGTTGTGGAATTCTTATTTGTAAATGAAAGTCAGTTTGCTAGAGTTCTAGAGAATTCTCCTATGTTTTTGCTGATAAACTATGGTGTATCAGTCTGCATGTTTGCCAGAGTGTCTGAAGTCTGGGGAAAGGATGTTTAATTAGTCACCTCCATAAGCTGACTGCTGTTCTTGTCATTCTATTTTGCTTTCCAAATTATGTATTGAACCTTTGCCATGGTCAGCTTATTAAGCTGTGGATTGTTGGGCTGCCTTCTGTTGTGTAGTGATACTTGGTTTATTTCTTTGTGGTACTGGGGGTTGAACAGAGGGTCTTGGGTACAATTGCTAGTGCTCTATCAGAGCTGTGTCTCCAGCCCATGTCTGCTGGGCTTGCATTACCAGGTAAGCACTTAAAAAAATGAATAGATATGTATGTGTTACAATTCAAATTTGCGTGATCCTCATGCTGAAGCAAATACATACGGACTTTTCTAAACTGCGTTCATGGCAATGCTGCATCAGTGATGTTTTCGTGAATGCTGGTCATGTTAGTGGATACTTAGCGTTGTGCACCTTTCTTGTGTGAGGAATGGCCCACATCACTGGCTCTATCACAAAGGTGGAAGCAAGACAGTTTCTTCTGCAAGAGTACAGTATCTGACTTGGGCCTTGTCAGATGAACAGATTCTTTGATTTAGGAGATAGAGATGCAAGGTAAAAGAGTTCAGAGTGCTGGAGGGATGGCTCAACGGTTAAGAGCGTGGCTGCTCTCGCAGAGGACCCAGGTCCTGTTCCCAGCATCCACGTGGCAGCTAGCGACCATCCTTAACTCCTGTTCCAGGGATCTTTTGCCCTTTTCTGACCTCTGTGGACATTGCACACACGGGTGCACTTACACATATGCAGGCAAAACACTCATAAAATAAATAAGTAAATAAATAGGGGTTCTGGAGTTTTGGTCCCTGCCCTGGCAAGCTGCAGTGGCTGCAGTGTTCCGAGTGTGTCCTGACAGCACAGCCTCCTGCAGTATTCCTGGATGAGAGCTCATTGTAGCATCTGATGTTTCTTAGCTATAGCAGGGGTCCTGTAATTATTCTAACAGCGTAGTCTTAGGTGTAGTGCCAGGTGTGGTGACATACACTGTAAGCCCTGTGAGGCAGAGCAGAGAATCACTCCAAGTTTGAGATCATCCAGGTCTAAATACTGAGTTCTAGGCCAGCCTGGGCTAAATACCAAAACCCTGTCTCAACAGACAAACAAAAGCAAGAAACCTTCAAAATGTTTATTAAAATATAGTTAGCTTTTGATGCTATCAGCTGAGAACCTCAGATACATGGCGCCTTGGTGTTATTTGGAAAACAGTTTATGATCATAGCTCTTATTTTAGGGTTTACATTTTAAGTTGATTTAAAGGGAATTTAATATATATATGTAGTACAAGGTAAGGGTTGAGGGTTTTTTCCTATCTAGTTCCAGAATCACATGTTTAAATGGTTTTTCTCCATTGAGTTGTGCTGGTACATTTGTTAGATTACTAGTTGGAATTCCTTCTTTCCTAGCATAAAAACTCGACACTGTAACTGTTCCTCGAAGTGCAGCTTTAGTGTGTCCTGTGAATTGCACTGCCATTTAATTCAGTTCAGAAGATGTTTTATGATTTCTTTTTTACCTGTGGGTTACTTAGAAGTGCCTTGTTTGATTACCACATATTTGAGCCATTTCTATATATTTGTCTTTTTTTGTTTTTTGTTTTTTGCTCTTTTTGAGACAGGGTCTCCCTGTAGCCGCAGCTGGCCTGGATTCACTATGGAGACCAGGCTGGCCTCAAACTCAGAAATCTGCCTGCCTCTGCATCCTGAGTGCTGGGACTAAAGGTGTGCACTGCCATGCTCAGCCCTACGTGTTTGTCTTTTACCGATTTCTAATGAACTCCATTGTGAGCAGGGAACACGAATTGTGGGGTTTTATTTTTGTTCTTTTGTACCACTGAGCTAGCCTGGCCCTTCCTCCTTTCTCTTTTGAGACAGCGCTACTGATGTTGTGGTTAGGCTTTACCCATCTAGGGGTGAGGTTGGGGTCATTTTCTCAGACAGTTAAAGAATGAAAAGGCTGGAAAAAAAACCTCAGACCAGCAGAAAGCAAGAAGCAGACAAACTTTTATTGAAAGAAAGACTCCCATCCATATACCTGGAAAGACTCCCATCCATACGTGGAAAGACTCCCATCCATACCTGGAAAGACTCCCATCCATACGTGGAAAGACTCCCATCCATACGTGGAAAGACTCCCATCCATACCTGGAAAGACTCCCATCCATACCTGGAAAGACTCCCATCCATACCTGGAAAGACTCCCATCCATACCTGGAAAGACTCCCATCCAAACATGCAAAGGCTCCCATCCAAACATGCAAAGGCTCCCATCCATACATGCAAAGGCTCCCATCCATACATGCAAAGACTCCCATCCATACCTGGAAAGACTCCCATCCATACATGTAAAGGCTCCCATCCATACATGCAAAGACTCCCATCCATACCTGGAAAGACTCCCATTCATACGTGTAAAGAACCCCATCCATATATGTAAAGACTCCCATACATATGTGTAAAGAATCCCATCCACACATGTAAAGAACCACACAGGCCGGGGTGGTGGTACATGCTTTTTAGTCCCAGCACCCTGGAGGCAGATGCAGGCAGATCTCTGTGATCTCTGTGAGGTCAAGGCCAGCTGGGCAATAGGAAGACCCAGTTTCAAAAAACAAAGCAAGAATCACACATACGGACACATGCTCATGCAGAAAGAAAGTGAAAACGCAGCGTCCCCCTGAGAAGAGCCTGGGTTTTAAGAGTTTTAGTAGTCTCCCCTCCCCTAATTTTGGATTCGCCTAAAGAAGAGAAAGCTGACAGGGCCATGACTTCAAATGATGAGCTGTCCAGGTTTGGCCTCAGTTTGTTCTAAACTGGTTTGAACTAGTTGGCCAGAAAGAGAACCTGTTGACTAGAAGAGGCCTGGTCTCTTTGTCTGGGGCCAAAAAGAGGATCACAGTTTGGCATCTCTGTTAGTCCTCAGTGACCAGGTTATGTATCAGGATTTTAGTCGCCCAGGCAGGACTTGAACCTGTGATCTTCCTGCCTTTGCCTCTTCAATTTGGAGGGTTATAGGCTTGTACCACCAAGCCCTGCTGATTCTTAACCTTTAAAAAAATACTTCTTTTTCATTATTATGTATCTAAGAATGTCAGTTTACCAAATTATTAAGGTATTTTTTTGTTTTGTTTTGTGGGTCTGGTTCAAGGGTGATTTTATTTTTCTTTGTACTTTGATTTTGTTGTTATTTTTTGTTGTAGTACTGTTTCAAAAGAGAAAGGAGGACTGGGTCTCTGTACCCCCAGCTGGCCTGGAACGCTCAGTGATCTGCCTGCCTCTGTCATAGTTGTGCTTCTGATGTGTTAAATGGTTGCTCTTTGGGGCTGGAGAGATGGCTCAGTGGTTAAGAGCACTGACTGCTCTTGCAGAGGACCCGGGTTCCATTCCCAGCACCCACATGGCAGCTACGAACTGTCCTTAACTCCAGTTCCAGGGGAATCCGACACTCTCTTCTGACCTCCGCAGCATTGCATGACATGGGTGCACTCACATAAATGCAGGCAATACACTCATACACATAAAATAAAAAAATATATTTAAAAAAAAAGCCAGGCGTGGTGGCGCATGCCTTTAATCCCAGCACTTGGGAGACAGAGCCAGATGGATCTCTGTGAGTTGAAGGCCAGCCTGGTCCACATAGTGAGTTTCAGGACAGCTGGGGCTACAGGGAGACCCTTTCTCAAGGAAAAGAAAAAAAAAGGTAATAAGTTTGTTTTTGCCACAAGTTTGTATGTTGTTCTTTCTATGTTTTGATAGGTCTGAGGTCTGGTAAACTTGGGGAACAGTGTGAAGCAGTCGTTCGCTTTCCTAGGCTTTTCCAGAAGTATCCGTTCCCTATTCTCATCAATTCAGCATTCCTAAAGTTAGCTGATGTTTTCAGAGTTGGGTAAGTGGTCTTAAAGCCTCGGGGTCCTGAAGCATGTGGTGTTCATGTCTCTGCTCTGTGCCAGGATCTTTCTCTTTTTGCCCTTTAGGAATTCTCCCGGGTAGCTACTCTGATGGGTGCAGACCGCACTATGCCATACTTTAGGATGAGAGTTAGTGGCATTTTTAGCAAAAATGTAAGAATGATTCAGGAATTATTTCTTTAGGGACAAATCAAATTAGAACAGCCTTAATCTATTACTGTATGTGTATCTTGTAAAAATCTGTAGCTTTCTATAGCTTGCTTTGAGAAATTTCTTCTGATTTAGTTTAGTAACTAACAACATGAGATGCATGTGTCTGGGGTTTTCAAACACATAGGCACTGCACTCATGTGCCATTCATCCATCACATGGACTTGAAGAGAATTCAGTGATGAGTCATGGAGATAGGAGGAAAACCTGACGCCCTGAGCTTGGCCATGGCCCGATTAGGGAGGCGTGCACCTCGCTGTTAGGTGTCTCACAGAAGGATCAAGCATTGCTTGCTGCTCGGGATCCACCAGAAGCAGAGTTTAGGTGATGTAGTGACAGACAAATGATGGTAGGAACTTTTGCCTGTTGCTGAAATGGAATGTTACTGCTGTCATTTTAACCCAAATTAAATATTACTTCCCAGGGATGATCTAATTTTTTGAATCTGTTTTTTCTAGAAACAATTTCCTGAGGCTGTGTGTTCTCAAAGTGACCCAACAAAGTGAAAAGCATTTGGAGAAGATTCTAAATGTGGATGAATTTGTGAAGAGGATTTTCTCTGTGATTCATAGTAATGATCCCGTGGCAAGAGCTATCACTCTCCGGTACACTCTGTTGCTGTAATGATTCAGCCCCAAGATTGTTGAAGCTGCCATTATCTATCTAAAAGGGTTTATTTTGGTTTTCACTAGGACTCTATGGAAATACGACACCTGTCCCCATCTGTAAATCAGGGCTAACATCTGTGATTCTGTTTTGGTTGTGAAGTGCCTCACCTGTGTTCCAAACACCCCGTTCTGTAGGATGGGTTTCAGTACAGCATTGTTGCAGCTCCTTTGGAAGCTCCCCAGCCAGGCCTAGAACTTGTAATCCTCCTGCTGGGATTCCAGGCCTGTACCACCACATACAGCTGCTTCCTGTTTTAGTTCTGCTATTTATAGAGCTCTTTTCTGGTTTTTCCTGTCCAGGTAATCCTCTTTCAATTTTTGAGACAGGTCTCCCTGTAGCTAGCTGACCCGGAACTCGCTATGTTGACCAGGCTGACCTTGCTCTCACAGAGCTCTCTTCCTCACGAGTGCCTGGCTCCAGTTGTCTTTAACCCGAAGGTCCAGGAAGTTATTGCTTCCCTGAGTTTCCTTTTTGTGGGTCAAGCATTGATTCTTTCTTGTTCAAAAGTAGTTGCTTTTGTAATTTTTCTGCCTTTTGATTAGTGATTTTTTTAAAGTCAGTTCTTGGGACTGGGGATGAAGCTCTATTGTAAAGTGCTTGTCTAGCACTTGTGAAACCCTAGATTCTACTCCCAGCATTGCGTAAAACTGGGCATGGTTATGCATACCTGTAATCCCAGCACTTGGGAAGTTGAGATGGGGATCAGAATTTCAGGGTCATCTTAGGCTGCATAATAGGTTTGGGGCCAGCCTAAGCTACATGAGATTTCTTTTTTTAAGTTAATAAGTTTTAAAAATTATCCAACTGGGTGGGGTGTGGTGGTATATGCCTTTAATCCCAGCACTTGGGAGGCAGAGGCAGGCGGATCTCTGTGAATTCAAGGCCAGCCTGGTCTACATAGCGAATTCTAGGCCAAAAGACAAAAAAAAATCCAACCTAGAACGTTACTGCTTTGTTTTTTTTTTGTTTTTTTTTTTTGTCTTTTTGAAACAGGATCTCTCTGGCCTGGAACTTGCTTTGGAGACCATGCCAGCCTGGAACTCACAGAAATTTGCCTGCCTCTGCCTCCCAAGTGCTGGGACTAAAGGTGTGCACTACCACGCCCAGCTGGTTGTTGTTTTTATTTTTTCTTTAATTTTTTTTTTTTAATTTTATTTTTTAGTCTTTTTGAAACAGGATCTCCCTGTAGCCCCAGCTGTCCTGGAACTTACTATGTAGACCAGGCTGGTCTTGAACCCACAGAGATCCGCCTGCCTCTGCCTCCCGAGTGCTGGGATTAAAGGTGTGCGCCACCATGCCTGGCTACTTTTAAAAAAAAATTTTTTTTTGATTTTGTTTTATGTGTATGAGTGTTATGCCTACATGTGTGTAAGTGCACCCGTGTCATGCAGTGCCCAAAGAGGACAGGTGAGGGCGTCAGATCCCCTGGGACTGGAGTTACGGACGATTGTTAGCTATCATATGCGTACTGGAATTTGAACCCGGGTCTTCTGTAAGAACAGCCAGTGCTCTTTAACTACTGAGCCATCTCTCCAGCCCCTAGCTGTTATCTTTTAAAAACTATCCAGACTGTTTGTTTGAGGCATTGAGTTCAATCCCCAACAACAACAAAGGAAAAGTTTGTGGGGGAACCGATAGCCAACGGAACAACTTAAAATTAAGATACTCTTTCCTACCTCCTGTTAACCTACAGGAATTTAATCAATAAATCATTTTTAAAAGTTGCTAAATAGGGGCTAGAGAGATAGCTCAGCAGTTAAGAGCACTGTCTACTCTTGCAGAGGACCCAGGTTAGGTTCCCAGTACCTACATGGTGCCTGATACCCCGTCTGTAACTTCAGTTCTAGGGGATCTGACGCCCTCTTCTGACTTCCTCAGGCATTGCCTGACACAGGTGCACTTATACACAAGCAAGCAAAACACTCAAACACATAAATTAAAAAAATTTTTCAAATTGCTGAATAGATGTATATGAATGTCACATTTTTCTAAAATGAAGGCAGGGAGATTGTATCTCTATAAGAATAACTTATAGAACACTATGTAACTTAATATACGTTTGTATATATGAGCACAGAATTTTTAATGGATTTTTTTAAAGTTTTTTGTTTTTTTTTTTTAATCTTTTTTTGGTCTTTTTGAGATAGAGTCTCCCTGTAGCCCCAGCTGACCTAGAACTTGATTATGTAGACCAGGCTGACCTCCATCTCACACTGCTTAGGAGTGCTAGGAGTAAAGGCATGTGCCACCACTCAGACGGCATCCTCTCCCTCTACTCTCCTGAAAGAGAGAAGAATCATTTTTTAATTTTTTAAGAGATTTCTTTTGCCCATTGGTCCATCTCACCCACTGTCATGTGGTTCTTGTTATTGGAGAACATCACAGTAGCAAGAGGGTTGTGCTTGTGAAGAAACCAAACTCTACGATAGACCCTGACGACAGGTCAGCTGTTGAGTATTCTCCGGGGATATCCTTGTGCAAAAGGTTCTGTATTGTTTGTTTTAAGTAAGATAAACTCTAACTTCAGGAACTTGCTTTCTGGGAGAACATGTGAGTGACTAGAAACCCATGAAGAAAAGCAGAAAACAATGTCTTTCAAACTCTGAACACCTTTTATTTGTTTTATTCTGTTTTATTTTATGATGCTGAGGATCAAACTCAGAGCCTCATGCTTGCTAGACAAAGCTCCTGCTGAGCTCCACCTCCAGGCAAGTCAGACTGGTTGGAAAGCAAAGGGAGAATTTTTGTTCTGTTTAAATGGAAATTTTTTAAAATGGAAGAATTCGAAAGCTGTCCATATTATTTGAAATGTCGTATAATTTATATTTAAACCAGGAATATTTTCAGAAAGTGACCAATGGGATTGTGCCCTGTTACATTACATCATAATAAACTGTTAATCATGATGTGCCAGTATTTGCCTAGTCTCATCTTTCCTGGTAAAGAGTATTAGATTGAGTCACTTTTTACATTTTTGAAAAACAATTAGTTTTGAAATTTAATATAAAAGTTTGGTCCATTCTGCTGTCTTTGGTTGTATTTATTATTTATTTGAGACAGGATTTCACTCTGTAGCCCTGAATGGCCTGAAATTCGCAATATAGACCAGACTGTTTTCAGACTCACAGAAGTCTGGCTGTCTCTGCCTCCCAAGTGCTGAGAATGAAGGTGTATACCACCACGCCACCATGCCCAGCCAACTATCTTATAAGGAAGCCAACTTATGTCTAATCAATTATATCTCTTTAAAATAACTAGGTGAGGGGCTGGAGAGATGGCTCAGTGGTTAAGAGCACTAGCTACTTCTGGAGAGGACCAAGGTTCGATTCCCAGCACCCATATGGCAGCTAACAACCATTTATAAGTCCAGTTCCTGGGGATCCACTGCCCTCTGCTGACCTCTGAAGGCATTGCGTGACATGGGTGCACTTACATACATACAGGCAATACGCTTAAAATAATAAATAGAATATTTAAAATAACTAAGTGAAAATGTTAAATTGGAAGTTATTACTCGAGATGTTAACCTTGAGGAGGTTGTTGTAGGAACATTGTAGGTTTTATTTCAGTGTCTTGCAACTTTCTAAAACTGTGGCCTTCTGCTGAAAGGAGTTTTCAAGGTTTACTCTCTGTTGTTTATGTGACAAATATAATTTTAATTTTTTACATTTAGTGTTTGTGTGTGGGTTTTGGATGCATGTGCACTGCATGAGGGTACTGGTAGAGGACAACTTATGGGATTCATTTCATCCCATCCACCTTGTGAGTCCAAGGGACTGCACTCAGGTTGGCAGGCTTGGCAGTAAGCACCCCTACATGGAGCCATCTCTGGCCCCTGTATTGCGTGTTCTAGACTTTACTTCCCTCCCTGTTGCAGATTCTGGTATGAATTGTAGGGGCCGCCTCCACCTCCAGAAATATTTCTCTTATGTGGAAGACAGATGCAGAAAGTACCATCCAGTATTTCCTTATGTGGGAAACAAAGACTGGGAAATTTCAGTTTGACTTTGTGAATCTGCTTAATAGCAGAAATGTATTCCTAATACTTTGGTTAAAATAGACTTCTTGCCGAGCATGGTGTTGCATGCCTTTAGATCCAGCACTCAGAGGCAGAGGCAGGCAGATCTCTGAGTTAACGGCCAGCCTGGTCTACATAGTGAGTTCCAAGCCAGCTGGGGCTACAGAGAGACCCTGTCTCAAAAAGATAATAATAAAAAAAAAATAGACTTCTTTATGAAATGTTGGAAAATTGGTATTTTAGTGCTTTAATAATTCAGTAATTTTCTGAGCCCCATCTGGTACCTGGGATGTACTTCAAGACAAATGTTTAGAAATCTAATATGTGTGTATGAATTGGGCCAGGGGCAGGGGTTGCTGCTGCTGGGGTTATAGCTCAGGTGGTAGAGCACTTGCCTGGCATGTGTAAAGTCCTGATTTCAATCCCCAGTACCAGGGAAAGAGAAATTTAATTTATGCCCAATGGGCTATCTTAATGTTTCTGATACCTGAAGTCTATACAAGTATTTAGATTTGCGTCACATCTTGATCCCTGATGCTAACCCTTCTTAAGCTGTAATTTGTGGAATGACCCAGAAGCTGTCTGGGCTGATCGCCTCGCTCACCTTGTTCTCCTTGACCACGGGTTGACTGCATTCCCATTCTTGGTCTCTCTGTAGGATGTTGGGAAGTCTGGCGTCCATAATCCCTGAGAGGAAGAATGCTCATCACAGTATTCGGCAGAGTTTGGATTCCCATGACAACGTAGAAGTTGAAGCTGCCGTTTTCGCTGCTGCAAACTTCTCTGCACAGTCAAAGTAAGTGTCACAGGCTTTTTTGTGACTTCCAAGGTGAGTTTTTGAAGGAGTAACTGATTGGTCCATGCAATCACTAAAAGATTCAGAACATGTCAGTGATGAGGTGGATTTTCCAAGAGGATTATACAACTTGTGGCAAAAAACTGAAATACATAAGATGGAAATCTTTTTTTGTCTTTTTGAGACAGGGTCTCCCATAGCCCCAGCTGTCCTGGAACTCACTGTGTAGACCAGGCTGGCCTTGAACTCACAGAGATCCGCCTGCCTCTGCCCCCTGAGTGCTGGGACTAAAGGTGTGTGCTACCACACCTGGCTTTTTTTTTTTAATGTATGTGAGTGTTATTGCATGTGTGTAAGTACACCCCTGTTATGCAATGCGCTCAGAGGACAGAAGAAGGCGTCGAATCCCCTGAAACTGGAGTTACAGACAGTTGTTAGCTGCGATGTGGGTGCTGGGATTCGAGCCTGGGTCCTCTACAAGAACAGCCAGTGCTCTTAACTGCTGAAACCATCTCTCCAGCCCCATAAGATGGAAATCTTAAACGCAAATGTTGGTTCCCAGGACAACAAAGTCAGCGTAGACTGGTGTGGAGAAGCTATATGGGGTGACTTTGTTGACCTCTGGAGAGCCTTCCACAAGCACATACACTACAAACCCTAAATTGCTGCCTACTGTCCCCTCGTGCCCAACTCTTTTGCCTTAGAGCTCTGCACATTTTAGCAAAGGCAGTAACTTGAGATCAGACTTATTTTAGCATATTCAGGATATCTTGTGCTACACTACTATCTTAGAACTCTGTGGGGGAGGTAGGGAGTGTGTGTGTGTGTGTGTGTGTGTGTGTGTGTGGCCAGGGAGCCCCAGGAATCTACCTGTCTCTGCCTCACTGGCACTGGGATTATAGATACACTGCAATCGGCTTTTTTTCAATTTGTGTTTTGGGGATTGAGCTTGGGTTCTCAAGCTCGGCAGTTACTGACTGAGCTATCTCCCCAGTCCCATAGTTTTATTTGTTTATTTTTCATTTATGTGCATGCCACATGCCGGAAGAAGGCATCAGATCCCCTGGAGCTTGAGTTACAGGCAGTTGTGAGCCACCCAACATGGGTGCTGGGAACTGAACTGGGGACCTCTGGAAGAGCAGCAAGTGCTCTTAACTGCTGAGACCTTGAGGCCATGTGCAGTTAGGGCTGAATTGCATACAGCTGGCTGGGAAGAGTGGCCAGATACTCAGGTGAGGGTTCCATGACTCTCCTGTCCCCTACTTCTCTGAGGAAATGTCAACAGTCAACAAGCCCAGCTGTGGTGATCTTTTGTAAGTAGATACAGCTTGTTTTATGAAGGTGGCGGCTGTTTGGCCAGGAGGACAGTGCTGCACAGCAACCCAGTGTGTTTTCTGCGTAAGCACAGGGACTCCTTCAGTGTGTCAAAATCATGATGGATTGGAGGACAGTAAGGCTATGGTGATTAGGGTTGATACTCTAAGATAATATAAGCACAGTAGAGAAACTGAGAGCAAGCAGGGTCAAGCTCATAAACACATGTTTACATGTGAGCCCTGCACACCTAGTAGATTTCTGGGACTGGGCTTGAAGCTCAGTGGTATGGCCTTGCTCAGCATGCCCACATCCCTAGATTGGGTTCCCAGCACCACAAAACAACAAAAATTTGTAAAAAACAACGAAAAAGCTTACATTATGTCAGCTTCCAAGATATGGAAGGCACATTGTGTGGTGTGTAGAAGACTCCACTCTGGGCTGTGACAGAAATGGAAACAGCAGACGATACCTTACTGGCAGGAAGTGCTTTTTTAAGACTTCCATTGAACTGCAAAGAGGGTATTTCATGGCTTGCACGTCGTTTGGTGTGGCTGCCTAAGCCACGTTTGGTCACGTCAGCCCTGTTGTTCCTTCCACTTGTGTCATATTTTATCCCAGGTGCACGCTCATCTCTCGCATTCAGCTTTTGGCTTCCGTTAGATGGTCGTGCATTGGAAAGAGCCTCTCTGCATTTCCTCTCACATTTATGCCACTTCAGCCCTGCCCCTTTGCCAATTTCGTAATGCTAGGAATCTGTTATTGCTTGTGCCGTCAAAGCTTGTATGGTAAAAGCTTTTCTTAAGTGAAATTATGTCCTAAAAGATAGTATTTTGTGATGGTGACCTTGATTCACACAGGGCTAAGGTACAAAATGAAAACATTCAGAGTCAGGGCCTCTTCCCTTAAACACAGTATGAGAGGAGCGCTGATGCTGCCTATTTCTCAGTCACGTGTCTTTTCTTACACCCCTCCCCCCCTGCCTTTGGGATACTAGTTAGGGTTTAGAGTGTTGCTTCTGTGATAATCGTGGGCTTTGTCCTTAGAAAACTTAATCGCACTTGATTTGTAATGTTTTTGTCATTTTCTCTTTCCCAAAGGGATTTTGCTGTAGGAATCTGCAACAAAATCAGTGAAATGATTCAAGGTATGTACATTTTGTTTGGTAATGTGAAGAGACTGTGTTCCTGTTAATAGTGGTTGCTCATCTTTACTAGGTACTTGCTGTGTTTAGTCATTATGCTTTCTAATAGTATTGAGTATCTTCTGTACGTCAACAACGCCCGAGGTGCTGGGGACAGAAGAGAATAAAACCAGGCCCTTACCCTCATGTGACCTGCGTTCTAGTCAGGAGCTGATTGAATAATACCCAGACAGGACTAGTCAGGCACTTGGGGAAATGGAGGACACCCCAAAAGTAGATGACGCAATGGCAGGACCGGTTTTCTTTTACATGTTACCCACAGAACTGTGATGACGTCGGGAAAGGAATGCATAGTGCAGAGACCAGTGAGCATTCTGCTCTAGGGGAAAGCAGAGCCCACTGGGGCTCTGGACTCTGTCTGATAACATCCCTCAGTATTTTCACTTGCAACGAAAATCAAATCCAAGTTCCCTACTGTGGCTTATAGTTCCACATAAATGATCCCTCATCTGTATTAAGCCCATATTATCTTTACAACATTTGTTACAGGCAGCTCTGGGCTACAGCATTCCAGAGTTCTAAAGAATTCCACTGTATTCTCAGAAATGACATTCCGTAGCTCGGGCATGGTGGTGCATGCCTTCAGTCCCAGTACTTGGGAGGCTGAGGCAGGCAGATCTCTGTGAGTTCCAGGCCAGCTGGGACTACAAGAAGACCCTGTCTCAAAAATACCAAAAACATAAAATAGAAAGAAAGGGCATTCCTGTGACGTGTGCGACTTGGTGATGTTAGGTCTTTTCACAGCAAAGGGAGTGGAGCTCAGTGGTTTGTCCAGAGTCACCCAGCTTGACGTGTGCGACTTGGTGATGTTAGGTCTTTTCACAGCAAAGGGAGTGGATGGAGCTCAGTGGTTTGTCCAGAGTCACCCAGATGACAAATAGCAGTTTGTTTTTGAAGCTCATGCTTTTAACCCCTGTGCTATCTTGCCTTTCTAGGGTACGGATTTCTTTAGGGTAGCTATATTTTACATGCATTTAAATTCTTTCAGTTTAAATTTTCAATTTAATGGTAAAGGGAATTTGCTCACCTACAGAATCAAAGATCAAGCTTTATCCTGTTCCCTTTTATTCTTTTGTCTTTTTTCTTTCACCAAGAAAGACATTCCTGTAGAAAAGGCAGTCTTCACGACACAGAGGCATGGCACAGTGAGCAGGTCTTTATGGGAGGCCAGCTGTATTAATAAGATCTCATCTGCAAGCAGGTGAGGGCCATTACAGAGGTCTGAGTAGGCATGGTGGGGATCATGCAGAACTTCCCTATACCCTCTAGGGTCCAGGGGAAGGAGTTATCTATGGAACCATCTCACTGACCATGGGTTGCTTTTTAAAAGCAGTTTCAATGGTCATAGTGATGCATGCCTTTAATCCCAGCACTCAGGAGGCAGAGGCATGTGGACCTCTGTGAGTCCAAGGCCGGTCTGGTCTATGTATGTAGCAAGTTTCAAGCTAGACAGGGCAACATAGTGAGAGCCCCTATGTTAAAAAAAGAAAAAAGTTTCTGTTGTCATCATATAACTTTATAATCATTGAAAAGATCATTTTCTGAGAAACCTACTGAGCTTACTTATTAGTTCTAATATAATTGTCTTTGCTATAACCCTAATAAATGTATTACAGCATTGGTTTCTAAATGGAATTTTGCTGGTTGAACCAAACCTTTCATATCTGAGCTGTTACTGAGGGTGATGGTTGGAAACCTGAAACAAGTTGTTGGATCTAGGTTTAGCTACACCAGTGGACCTAAAGCTGAAGCTGATCCCCATCCTGCAGCACATGCACCATGATGCTCTCTTGGCCTCCAGTGCACGGCAGCTTCTGCAGCAGCTGGTCACGTCCTACCCCTCCACCAAGGTGGTCATCGTGTCTCTGCACACCTTCACCCTGCTGGCAGCCTCATCTTTGGTTGGCACTCCTCAGCAGGTACTTTACATTTTCCTTTTTTTTAAATTTAAATTTTATTTTATGTGTATGAGCGTGTTACCTGCATGTATGTAAGTGCACCATGTGCATGAAGAACATGAGGAGCCTAGAAGAGGGTGTCAGAGCCCCTGGAACTTTACTTAGGGATGGTTGTTAGCTGCCACCTGAGTGCTGGAAATCAAACCTCGGTCCTGCAAGGGCAGCCTGTACTCCAGTGTACCCTCTACACTGAGCCAGCTCTCCAGCCTTCCAATGTTCTTTGTTTATTTTTTGTAAACTTACATATCAAGTGCATGGTGAAAACAAAGGAAGCAGCCCATGAGCTTTATTAACAGTAAGGAACCTGGAGTAGCAGTGAGGGTCAGGTCGGGTTCTTTCTTCTTCATGCTCACAGGACTACTTCTTGGGAGCTCTGGAGGACGGTAAGGCATTGGGGAGCACATGGAAGGATGTGTTGTTGGCAGAAAAGGAAGATTGAGGGTCTGTTAAATGCCAGGTGTTCTGCTCGACCCTTGCAAATTAAATGGTTCTGTTTTCACACATACCTGGTACAAGCCATTGGTGACAGGCCTTGGTGTGTCGGGAGCCCCTTCTCAACTCTACGAGTTTCACTGAACAGCACTGTATGTATCCCTCATGAAGTTCCAGTGACAGTGTTCTCAGAGTGACCCCACTTTCTTGGTAGATTCAGCTTCTGTTGCAGTATTTGAAGAGCGATCCCAGGAGAGCAGTGAAGAGACTTGCTATTCAAGATTTGAAGTTGCTTGCTAATAAAACGCCACATACTTGGAGTAAGGAGAATATTCAGGTATGTAGTACTTTTTAAGAAAAACAAAATATTATGGTTATCTGAACCAGGGTAACACTGTGGTCATACTGTTTCCACCCTCCTGATCCTTCACAGTGGGGACTAAATTTCAACAAGTGAAACCTCCAGGGACCTCACACTGCAGCACAGTCCTTCTAAACTTTTATGTCTTACTGTCATATATCTTAGTTAATGTCTTTTTCAGACAGATTTTTTAGCCACTTGTGCATGTTGTTCACTGGGACCTTTGCTGTCCTTTCTTGCCTCTCAGGCTTTCTGTTCCAGTACCTTTCCTTCTGCCTCAGAAGCCCTTCAGTGACTCTGTGGTGATGAACACTCCTGTTATTTGCTTATATGAAAATGTCTTCAGTCTTGAAAGCTGCTTTCTGGGAGGCGAAATTCCCAGGGCGTGAAGGGCGCCACCCTGCTCTCTACTGGCTTCTCCTGGTTCAGCTTAAGAAGTAGCAGTAGTAACCCTCTTTTGAGGCTTTCTTTTTCTGTTGCTTTTGAATTTTTGTTTAATTTGGTGAGTGCTTGATTTATGTGTGAGCGTTTACCTTCTATTAAGCTGTGGTGGGCCCAGGTAATGGAGACTCCTGAGGCCAGTAGTACAGCTGTGTTTAGGAGTGGTACTTCGAGGGAGTTAAGTGGATTGATGCCTGTGGGGGGATTTGCAGTTTTACTATGAAATTTCTGCTTTGCAATTTCTTCCCTGAAAACTTTATTGACTATGGTAGTGTATTAGATAATTCTTGTTGCTGTGACAAAACACCATGACCAAGGCAGCTCATAAAAGGAAGAGTTTATTTGACTTACGGTTCCAGAGGGATGAGACCATCATGAGGGGAGGCCTGCATGGTCGGAGGCAGCTGGAGCAGGAAGCTGAGCGCTCACATCTGCAGGCAGGCACCGGAGGCAGAGAGAAAAGTGGGAAAGTCACAGGGCTGTGAACTCAGGAAGCGCATCCCAGTGACGTGCTTCCTCCAGCAAGGCCACCCCTCCTAGGGATGTGAGGGCCTTCTCAAGACAGTACCACCCATTGACCAAGTAAGTGTTCAAATACTTGAGCCTACAGGGGACACCTCATTCATACCTGGCAAGATGGCTCGGTGGATAAAGGTACTTAGTGCCAAGCCTAGTGACCTGAGTTTGATCCCTAAGATCTACATGGTTGTATCTACACACACACGTAATATAATAAATTAAAAAAAAAAAAAAAAAGGAGCTGGAGAGATGGCTCAGTACTTAAAAATGCTGTCTGCTCTTCTAGAGGACCCAGGTTTGGTTCCTAGCACCCACATGGCATCTCACAACTGTTCATAACAGATCCAGGGGATCTGATGCCCTCTTTTGGCCTTGGTGGGCACTGCATGACATGGGTGCACTTACATACATGTACACGATACACACATACATATAAAATAAAAATAAAAAGCCAGGCGTGGTGGCGCACGCCTTTAATCTCAGCACTTGGGAGGCAGAGGCAGACGGATCCTTGTGAGTTCAAGGCCAGCCTGGTCTACATAGTGAGCTCCAGGACAGCTGGGGTTACAGGGAGACCCTGTCTCAAAAAGACTAAA